AGTTTTTTTTTCTTGATTTTTTTTTTTAACATTGATATGGATGCTTTTGCTCTGACAGCTTCTCTGTTGTGGATATTGTTATATATGAAACTATGATTGAAATTACGATGGAGATTTGAATTTTTTGTTGTCTATTCCTGTTGGATGGTATGGATGGTATTCCTGTTGGATCAATTGAAAATGCTTCACGATGCTGTTTCAACGAGATAATGAACTTCGAATGGTTATATGTGTAACTAGTTTAACCGCGCAAGAAGCAAGGATGTGTGTCTGGCAAATTGTTAATTGACTATCTTGAAATCAATAATTCTATAGAGTGTGCACGATGAAAATCAAGATTCATTTCAAATAATAATACTTTTTAACAAATTTCAAATCAAACGAGAAATTGGAAAGTATGGCTTTTCAACTATATCTCATACAGAATGGATAAACAATCATGATGATAAAAGAATATTGCACTTGAAGTAATATATAGATCTGATGACTTTTTTTAACGTTCTAAATGCTTATCAATACTATTAGACGTGTCATTCAATGTTTTTAAATGGGTTGATACATCTAAGGATACATGAAAATATGATTATATTCTAGTTACGCAATATGCAAAAGTGGAAGAGTCGCATGATAAGGGTGAAGAAAAATAATTTATTGTCGCTTATTGTCGTTTATTAAAAATTTTCATTCACAAGATCTTATAAATTGTGATTTGCATAGTGTAAACATAACATTTTACAAAATGAATTATGTATAATAATGCATATATTACTGATTTCGGGCTTACAAAGAAGGGTTGGAACATTTTTTTACATCAAAAATTTAGGATACAATGCAGATAACGAAGAGGACAAGAAACTTCATGAAAAAGCAAAGATATATCTCGACAAATTTAATCTTATATTTGCAATTATATCAGATATATATTTGTAATAATCATGTGGAAGATCATTTCAAAGTTGTTCTTCATATTTTGATTTGTAATGGTTTACGACCAATTTTATTGGTATGAAAGATTGCTGGGATTAAACGTCAAATTATTGAAAATTGTAAACACAATAACTATCAAATTAAACTTATTAACTTTCAAGAGATTTGATACTTCTGCTATTCAATATTAGGGTAAGGGTAAAGGTTAGATGTAAAATTTAGCAAGGAATATTTTTACTTAGTACCCTCGATGGGGTTTCATAGTCAAAATTTTGAAATAGAAGAGGTGCACCAAACACATAATAGTGCCTTAATTATATCAAATCCTGTAAATTGTATATTCTAATATTATGTAGCTTATTTTATAAATAATTTACATACCCTATACTGTTCTGACCTTGGCTTTTTTTTTTTTTTTTTTTGACACGTTTGTCCGCTTTCTATATACGTTATGTAATATTTTTACATTCTGTCAACTATTAACGTCGAATTATTCTTAATATTAATGCGGTTTATGGGATTTAAGTTAAGAATAATCACGTTGATTTGATTTTAACGAATTCAAGCACTTTTTACTGTTATAATGCTACGCATTGTGGGACCGAAATATCGTGACCGATCACGTGAAAAATGCACGAAGACAATAAGTGCAATTAATTACATTTGTGATCGGAAACGGTATTTCGGAGGGGTAGATAGGGAATAAGGGGAGGATGTAAAGATAAATTACAATCCTTAAAAATATTAAATCAATCATTGTAAATAGCTTTAAGCAGTTTTATAGAATAATAAGTATAAAGTCGCATTTGTGAGTGACGAAATTAAATAATATAAAAGGCCGAAATGGCCTTAGGAGCGTTATGCTTTGTTTCTTTATTAAATATTAAGTCCCAATACAATACATCGTCTATAATAATATCATATTAACACTCTACCCAGTATAAACCCTATAAACCACTATAAACATCGTTAGTTCTGGATCACGTGACTCACCCTACTGGCCTTCACCTCAAGTAACCAAAGCCTTAATCACCCACCCGTCAAATATAACACCTCTTTCGTAAGGTTACTTATCGTTGGTTATGCGAGATTTTGGATTGTGGAGCGAACGACAGCATTAATTTAAATTATTAATTGACGCCTGTCATTTTTCAATTTCCACCGATTTAAAAATGACTCAGGTTAATCCTAATGTTGCTACCTTCGAACCACCTCTTTATATGTTAACTTTCTGTGAACCCACCGTAGTAATAATGTTGCTACTTTGACAAAATTAGTCTACTAAAAAAATATATATGTTTTTTTTTTTAAAGTGACTGATTGAAGAACGTTTAATATATAAAAATGAAAGTTCTTTAGTAATCAAAACCATTTAAAAATTCAATACAATATAATTAATAGTTTTATAATGCAGTTTGATCTAATTATATGGTATAAAAACATATAATCTTTTATCATAGAAACAACTATTCATCAACCAACCCAACTGGATATGGATAACAATTTTCATCGTATTAATATAGTAAGCTGATGTGTTTTTTTTTGCTGCAGATCTAAAAATAAAAACCACTAGTTAACAAAATAGAAAGTTTGCACATAATTTCAATTTAAAAATTTATATGATATCGGTATGTATATGGATAAAACCTGGCAAGACGGAGGATTTCAAAGTATGAATAAATTCGTCAATTTATTGATTTCTTTCAACTCGGAATCGACATGTCACTTTGGAATTATCACTGATTCATAAGTGACACATTTAATTTTTGATGTAAATAGTTAGTAACTTACATATTACTGTATTATACCAGTAAAACACATGCATACCTATAAAAATTATATATATATTTTTTCTTCTTAATTATATAAATACAAATCTTTAATTTTCTGTGCGAGTCGTTTGATCAAAGGAAAATAATCGAGGTTTAATAACTAGTCTTGACGTTAATTCAGAGAAAGAGTTTCGTTTACTTCAGTATGAAAATAAATTTGAAATGCAAGGAAATCCGCCATTTTTTTTTAATAATGGTTGTCAACCTTTTTCTAACTTTTATTTGATATGCACTTAATCTATTGGGAATAGCCCTTCAAATAGTTGTTATTTATTTACTTATTTTCTAATTATTATTTTTTTTATAGATTTATACAAAATTGTCTGCATCATTTGCTCATTAGTCAACAAAAATAATAAGTTTATATATCGTGCTAAAAAATAGATACGTATCATAAAAAAAATGGCGAATTTGGACGTGAATGCTAATTGTGCATAAATGCAATAGCGGTGTAAATAGAAAGACATTGTTTAACTAAAATGATAAAATTTTAAAACATGAAACGTATTTATAAACGAAGTTCGATCTTATTGATAAGAACCTATCAAGACCACACTTAATTTGTCATTGAAATCACAATTGCTTAGCATTTATAGTTGGATCGAATTTCTTGATTGATACGTATATAAATATGCATAAGAGTTTATTATTGCCCACAATCAACTTTTTGGGATTGCAATTACGACATGTGACTGTAAACATCTTCAATCCTTTTAAATATATATATTTATATATACTATATTTTCGCGAAATAACGTTAGGAGTGTGATTTCGGATTTTGGCTAATTAAGCTTAATTCGAGCCAACTTCGAAATAACACTCCTACCGATATTTCGCGAAAATACGGTATGTATATATTATCAATTTTCTTAATTGCAAAATCCGCGTTTAATTTTATAAATTTATTAGAATACAATTGCAGCATTATTGACGATAGCATTTCTCGGGGGCAATACCCTCTCCCGTAGAGTATACATCTAGATTAGAGTGTCCGGACTTATGCGATTTCAGGGATTTTTCATTGTTTGAACAATGGAAGATCCCTGAAATCGCATAAATCTGGATACTCTAATCTAGATATGTATTTTAATATTAGCATATGTAGTACAGGATTATACTAACGCTAACAGAAGATGGTTTGTTTAGACCGCAGATTATAGATAAACTTGGTTAATGTATGTTGCCAGAAAACTTATACTATATATAATAATTTCAGATATACTTCTCATGTTAATTCATCTTACCTCGCCATTACATGAAATTTATTAAGAATAAATTTAATAACAATTAACGTATTGCTTAATATTAATGTCCGATTATCATTTTTTATCCTGTTTCATGCGAGAAAAATTTCAGACACTATCCCAAAGTTGTTCGAGACAATTTTATAATAATCAATGAAGAGATTTCACAAATCACTCACATTATTGTCGGCTTTAATAATAACAATAATAATAAATTATTTTCAACCCTTTATTCGTCCTAACTCGCTCTGCGATTTCACAGAATAGGAAAAGTTTCTAAAAAAGATTTGTTATATATTCTAAATATAAATATGGATCTTTGTCACTTATGACTTTTTTGGTCATCAAATGAACATAGAGCTCACCTTGAATCTTTACAGTAATTGGATTGACTTTCCTAAAAATTAAGTTCGATTATTATTAATAATAAGCTCGTCGATATATACATATACTGTATATACGAACATCAATAATATTTTAGAAAAATACTATAAAGTAGAAACAATGTGCTGTAACGCATTAATGCATACAGTGGATGGAACCTTTCACTATAAAAATTCCGAAATAAATTACTTGAACTTTTTAGGAAATAGCAAAATTATAGGAGAGAAAATTTTACAATCGAGAATTATGCATACAATTGTCATTCTTTAAAGATATCAAATAGAATTGTTATATTTAATTAATTAATTCATTCAGTTACTCGTTTATCTTCCTGCTATACAAAGTTACCAATAAACCTTGAAAAAGCGTAATTCTCAATTTAGAATCTTCTCTTTTCAAAATATCATGTCGATAATTTTTTATAAATAGACAGTCCTCAAAATTTGACGAAAAGGTGTAAAAAGTGTTTTTATTTTTCCTTAATTAAAGATAGTTTCTATATGAAATAGAAAATTACCAGAGTTCATCTTAGAAAAATACTTTATAATCTTGTTAACTTAATCTTTATACACGTGTTCTTCAAAGGAATTAATGGTTTATTACTTTCACAACCATGAAATTATTTAACCCAGTCAAAGTCGTGGTAAATTTTCAAAAATTCTGTCTTTTCTTTTATTTATTTTCCACTGCTATTAATAATTGACTTTTTTTTCGAATCTGATTTTAGATTTTCGAAGTTGCTTTATGCTATGTCTTAATTTCATTTATTGTTGCTTCAGTCCCAGTCCTTCCAAACTCCAAATTCGATTATGTACGTGGGCCCAGAATTAGGAATGTGCATAACCAATACAACAATGATCTTGAGTTAGAACACGATGAATCGTACAATTCGAAAAATGTCCATAGTGGTGAATATGATATAGATAAAGAATTCGATCATGGGATTAAAAATGGATATGGTCGCAACTCTAGAGATACAGATCACGAACACGACCATCTAAGCAAGTTCAGAGGAGACAGCTTTAACGGATATAAAAAGGATTATAAACCCAAACACATTCTTGAAAGTGGAAACGAATTTAGTCGAAATCACGATTGGGAACACAACCTTGAAAGTGGAACCGAATTTAGTCGA